CCTCAGCTATTTATTATTTATTTGAAGTTTTGTTGATTACTTTTTAAAGCTACTTGAGGACTTAAGTCTCTTGTTCTTGATAAAACTGAGGAAGCACATCATAGAAGGAATAAACAAGCAGCATCAGCATCAGCTGGGAACTTGTTAGAAATGCAGACGTTTGGTCCCCCTCCGGACCTAGTGAATCAGCTCTGGGAGTGGGGCGCGGTGATCTGTGCTCTCACCAGCCCTCCAGGTGGTGCTAATGCTCCACCAAACTGGAGACACCCGTGCGCAGAACAGGGCTTGTCAGCAGCGGCACTACTGACATTTTGGCCAGATAGTTTTTTGTCACGGGCTGTCTGTGCATTGTAGAGTGCTTAACGGCATCCTTAACTTCTACCCACGAGGTGCCAGTAGCACCAACGTCCAGGTGTGACAATCAAAAATACTTCTAGACATTGTAAAATGTCCCCTTGCGGGTGGGGCAGAATCCTTTCCCCCACCCGCCTTGAGAACCGGTGCTATAGAAGGACCATTTGTAGCACTGAAGAAGCTGTCATTTCCTCAGGAAATCTTGGTAGATGTTCCCGAAGTATGAGTTAGTGATAATTCTGAAGAATCCTTCTGAAGACAGGTGGCCTCGCCTCTCTCAGAATTGGACTTTAGGAGAAATTCTAATGTATCCAGCTTTCACTTAATAAAATAGTTTAGATATTTCAGCTTCTCAAAACTTGTAAAGTACATCACAAAGAAAATAAAGATCCTACGTATTTTAGGGGTTACCCTGAAACTGAATATGTTTTTCAGCTATTCAACAGATGTATCTGTAATTTGAATGCACACTTCAAAGACTGATTTAAGTTTTACATAGCATTTGTAATGAGGATTTCAAATTTTAGTGTTCACAATACCCATTTTGCTGTATGTCTCTTTAGGATAGTTCTGTTTAAAAGGGAAAAGTATATGCTAGTCTCCAGTCTAAAATCAAGGGTTTAATAAGATTATTGCCCTCATGTCGATTAACTTATTTGTAGACCTTAAATCTCATATAAACTACTGCTGATCATTTAGGAACAGCATTTAGTAAAACTTCAGCATTTGTTTTCACATTGTTTAAGGAGTTTACCATATGATTGTGTGACTGGATTTTAACATTTGCAGAAATAACAACAGCAGCTTTCAAACTAGAAAATAATGTCCATTGGATTCACGGATTTCAAAATACGTTTTACACCAAAATAACTAAAACCTTTCATTTAAAAAATGGAATTCTATTACCAAAATTAATACAATAATGGATATTTGAACTCTTACAGAGGTTTCATTTGATCAGTCATTTTTATTAGACCTCTTCTGAAACGTAGCACTCGTAGTGCTGACGCCCGATTTTCCATCACCAGCAATCTTCCTGATTTACCCACCCAGGAAGCAAGACGTGAATGAGAAGTGAGACTGGCCAAAGATGAGGTGACGAGATAAGAGAGCGATGGGGCTAAAAAACACAGCCACAGACCAGTCAGGTGCCACTTGGGTTCTAGTTAGTGGTTCTTAAAGAAAATGATTCTGTTTTCAACGTTAATGAAGCAGAGCTGCGTTGTCAGTGTGGGCTTCTATTCCAACGTAGGAAATGAGTTCTGTAGTTCACCTTAGGGTGTATTGAGATGATAAGTCTTCTTAGCCAACTGCCATTTGATAAAACAATTAACATTTAATTAATTGTTGGATTAAGCAGACAAGTTATATTAGAAAAGTGGTGGGCTCGGAGCATAACTGTTACATTATACCTGCATAACTTAAGTGACTCAGGCTTTGTAGGAGGCACCAGTGGCAATAAATATCATATTCAGATGTGCTAGATTTTGCTGGAGAGTCTTAACTTTCAAATATTCTTCTCTCTCATTGCACCTGTAATTGTATTAGTATTTATCAAACCATCTGCCCAGATTCCTAGTACGAACAATATAGTCAGGGTCACACGATGAGATGGGGGCTGGATTTAGAGTCAGGTTTTAAGCTGTGGCCCTGCCACTTTGGCCTGATCAAGTCAGGTTCTCTCTCTGAGCCGAGATCTCCACACGAGTGAAATGAAAAATAAACAGCCACAGTGATGGTGCCTTCCATGTCCCCTTGTCCCTGGGTAACTGTGAGGACAAAATGAGATCCCGTAGTCCAGAGCATTTCTGCAGCTCTGAAACGGCGCTGTCTTCTGCAGGGTACGTCCTCCACGTGAAGATAGATTCCGTGAAGTTAGTCTCCTTGCTCTCATGTCCTGTGGGCTTTCTCGTGGTTGCTCTTCCTGTCATATCCAAACTAATGTTTCACTAGGTGTTAACACCCACACAACAGCATTTTTATTAGTGTAAAATAAAAGCTCATTTAAAAAGGTTGACAACACCTCTGGTCCTAATTAGCTCCTGCTCAAAATAATTTGGGGCACTTTTTCAGACTTCATGTGGAAGGGTTGACCCCAGAGGTGAAGTAGCTCGAATATTCTAGTTGCCATGTTTCTTTAGTTCCCAAGTTCTATGCAGTCTCTGCTTTTGCACTTTAATCTTAGCGATAGTTGAGGGTGTGGGGGTGGATTTTGGTTTTGTTTTGTGTTGTTTTTAATTTCAGTTCTGGCCAGGAATGATGGAGGAACTCTCCGAGTTGAGAGAATTCTATGACCCAGATACAGTGGAGCTGATGAACTGGATTAAGTAAGAGGATTTTTTTTTTTACCTTTAAAATTTAAAGTGCCTTTTAAGAATCACTGTGGACCTCATTTGGCTTCTTGTTTTTTGGGGGTTTTTTTCCTGAATGTAATTGTGAAGATACATTCATTCTCAAGTTTTTCTTTAAAATTCTGTATTTGAAGATAATTTCTTTGCATTCAAGAAATATTCTCTCAAACCACAATCCCATGAAGAAAGGAAAATAAATAGCAGTATGGAGAGGGAAACAGAATTGGAGGGTGCATCTCAAACCAGTGAGAGCAAATGGAAATAAAGTTTTATGTTCTCTGCCAATTTTATCTTTATCATTTCTTTCATTTTAACACCATTCAAATTTTCTGTTAATACCGACCTATAAAGTATTCTTTCCTTGTTAATCGTTTAAAAATTATATTAACTACAGTAATTAGTACTCAGT